CTTTAGTTGTTTTTTACAACCGCCCTCCAATGTGGCCGCCGGTAGTGCATTGTGGGTAATTGCGAAAAGGACGGAGCCCTCTATTCGTAACAGATGTAAAAATGGCACAAAATTTAATTTTTGGGGTGGTGAGGTTTTTTTTTTTTGTTGTTGTTTTTTTTCACAATTTTTCCTGCTAAAATCAAAAATGCATATAAATCTTTGGACTTCACAATGACGTCACTCTTGAAAGTTCATTTTAATTGAAAAGTAAGTAGACAACAGTATGGATGTAAAGAGTTCGGATGGGGCGGGAACAAAAGCGCTAAATAGTAAAGCTGATACGCTCAGTGTTTTTCCATTGTCAGTTTTCAGCGTTGAGATGACAGTGTCATATTTTTAGGCTTTTATTTTTTTGTTGAAACGTGAGTTTTTGTTTGTTTTTTTTCTTGACCAAATCCACAGATGCTTGGCACTGAAATTACAGCTCCCCAATTAAGTCGTGCTCATTGATGCGTTTCATTTCAATTCCGCTGTTGAATTGAGGCTGGAAAGCATGCCGTTGCTGTGTCAACATTGCGGTTGTATGAATCACAAGACTTTGTAACACGTTCTCAAAGAAAACATTTGTGTGAGGTAAGAGAGTGTTTGACTGCTCCTTTGGAAACATGATGTAACCTGTTTTTTTTTTTTTTTTTTTTTGTGTGTGGGTGACAATACTCAATGTTTTTAAGCTAGCTAGCATCTGCTGCAAGTTTTCGTACAATTTTCTACTCGGTCCACGAATGTGTTGCACTCCAATTAGGATGGAAGCGTGTCATCGCTGACAGCGGTGTGATTCTATGACACACAAAGTGGAGCAAACACTCAAGTCAGATGTACATAGCTTGTCGACTCCTGAGGAAAGATTTTTTTTTTTAATGGCAAAATGTAATCTTTTTTTTTCTGCAGTTTTCATACAACTTTCTACTAAATTCCTTCTCGAATTTGGACTCTTCCCCCCAATTATACTACACCTCAACTGAGTGGAGGTTGGGCTCGAAGCGTGTCATTGCCATGGCAACAGCGTGGTTGTATGCAAAATGGGTGCCAAATTAAGGAAAAGGTGCACCAAACCTTTTGTCACTTGAAATGAGCGCCGTGGCCAATGCAGACTCTTCAAAGAACACGCACGTATACAAGAAGTGTGCGTGCCCAAACACACATGCGCACACACGCGCGCACGCAGGTAACCTGGGATTCATCAACACCCCCGCCACCCCAAACCTTCACTTCCCCCCCCACCCCTTAGCAACCTGCCTTGACGACGGCACTGTTGTTAGTTCAAACAAAAGGCCGTGACTCTTCACTTCCCCCCCAACGTGCTCCATTTTTGAAGCGCTTTCAAAATCAATAGGCTACTAATTTACGCTCAAAACCATCTGTCCGCGCGAGCTCGTTAGCGTCCGAGGGTGGCGGGCGCGGGGGAGAGAAGAGCGCCGTTGAAGCACAAAGCAGCTGGCGTCCTTCTCATATGCCTCTTCTACCTTGTCCCAGGCAGGTAATAGATAATAGTTATGATTCAGAGAAATATTGCTTGATAGCCACTTGCCTCATAGCAGGGAGCCTCAACCTAGCTAGCAACAACCGCAGCGCCGAAAAAGGCAGAAGTTCAGTAGCCACTGGCCATTATGCTGAAAGTGCTCAAGAAATGTATTGTGAGGGGACCCTGAGCCTCGGTGGACATTCAGTGTCTTCGAATACCTGACCAAATTGCTGTAGTGAAGCTAATTAGCAGCAACGCGAGATGCTCTAACAAGGGCATCTTGTGTCGACTTTGGAACTGCTTGCAGGGACCCTAAAACCCCACTAGCGACTACATGGTGCGTATGTAGCAACGGAAACCGTGTTTAGCAGCTAAAGGAGGAGCCAAGCAGAGACCGTCTCTGTTAAAAATTCCACACTGAAGCTAACTAGCTGCTAGCCTCCACGTTGCTAACCTCATTCATTGCCTTTAAAATGTTTTGATTGAGGGTCAACCAAGATGTTTTTTTTCCTGTTTCCCGCTGACTTTATAGATATATATTTTTTCAATTCATAGTATTTTATTTCTTTATTTTTAACTACTAGGTGAGTCGTCGCTGCTGGCCATCAACAAGCTAAAGTGTCCGCACTGCAACTACATCGCCAAACACCGGCGCACCCTCAAGAGGCACCTGGTCATCCACTCGGGTGTGCGCTCCTTCAGCTGTGACATCTGCGGCAAGCTTTTCACCCGCCGCGAGCACGTCAAGAGACATTCCTTGGTCAGTACATTAAACGCGCCGCAAAGAGCTGCCACCAAAATTACCTGCTGGCTAGCATAGCATTTGCCGGCTTAAACTTTAAAAAAAAAAAAAAAATACAAAATAGATGCAGTTAAGATAACTGGCTCCCTGGTTTGGTGAGTGTCACAGCTGTCATGGCTCACCCGTTTTCTGGGTTGGATTGCTTGACGTTCGGCTGGCACTTTTGTCATTTTCAATCGACAGCGAGTGGCAGTACAATGCAAAATGGCACCTGCCTGAGATGGATAAAAACGGGTGGATTTTGAGGCTTCGTTCATGTTCCACAATATTAAAATGAATCAAAACGCTACGTTTAGACTCGTGGGGAGGCATAGAAAATCGTGTCAAGACAATTTTTGACTTGATTTAACATTCCGAATCGTAAATCTGGAAAGCAGCTGCAGGACGTTACATTTCGCACTAAAGATGCATGATCAGAAAATCAGTAAAAAGGACACTAATTGTTTTCCAAAGTAAAAGCGGATGTTTGTTAATGTTATTTTGATTTTTTGATTTCAAGTATTCATGTACAATCTGCTTCCTCTCATGGGGACTTCAGAAATTGAAGAATACCATTGATGCTAAAATTATTAGCAGTTGAACAATTTTCAGTTCATAAGTCGATTGTTTCTCAAAATAGTTGCATAATAGTTCATTAGTCTATTGACTGCTGCGACCCTGTTAGGATTATTTCTCATCGTTGTATGGATGATAGTATGGGTGCAACTAATGTTTATTTTAATCAACCATGAATAATTTTTTTGTTTTTTTGTAGTTTTTTTTAAATTGATGAAGCAGCTTAACATTTTTGGAGGGGGGGGGGCTTTTTTTTTCCGAAAAAGCGGACATTCTTTCAAATTCACAGTGCTGTAAATGCACAAATATAATTGATAACAATGACTTGGTGACCATTTTGGTCCTGAACCCGGTCTGTAAGCATGTCAGCAAAATTGTCAAAAATGTTGACCAAAAAAGCAGATATTTGATTCAACAAAGACAATCAGTCTGCTTTGATACAAGGTTACAGCAATCGGAGAATATTTATTACTGTTGAAAGGTCAAAATTTGGACAATTTCAACACCAGTCTCTTAATTGGTTGTCGGGTATTTGTCGATGAATCTATCGATTAATTGCTAGTTAATTTATTTATTTGGAAGCCTCTCATTGAAAGGCTGAAATTCCAAAGAGTTTGATATTTTTTAAGTTAATGTCTCCAAACGATTAATCAAGTCATGACGATTAATTTGAGAATCGATTAGCTGTTTGATTAATCAATGTAATTTTGACAAATTTATTTCCAAGGCTGAAATTCCATGGCGTTGGACAATTGTAAGTTCCAAAACGTCCCAAAATGATGAATCAATTCTCAAAAATCAATGAATCGTTGCACCTCGCAAACTAGTCCATTCCAAATGAAGGCTGCGGAGGAAGTTGGCTTCCGATTGTCGGGTGAAAACTGGACTGACGGTGTCCGTCCCCGCCTCTCCCGTCCCGTGCGTCCCCGTCTCGGCAGGTGCACAAGAAGGACAAGAAGTACAAGTGCATGGTGTGCAAGAAGATCTTCATGCTCGCGGCCAGCGTGGGCATCCGGCACGGCTCGCGGCGCTACGGCGTGTGCGTGGACTGTGCCGACTCGCACCAGGCTGGCCAGGAGGGCCTGGAGGGCATGGAGTTCCCCCGGGACGACGACTTTGAGGGCGACGACGCCGACGACCTGCTGGAGGCCGACAACGATTCCGCCGATCACGACCGTGCTGCCTGGGGCCGCCGGGCCCCCGCCGTCGCCGGCCCCGCCGTCGCCACCACCCCTCCGCAGGACAAGGAGTTCTAGCCTCACTTTTTTCTTTTCATCTTTTTTTTGTTTTTGTTTGTTTGGGTTTATTTTTCTGTTTTTAATATATGTAAGCTGGTAAACAATCAACTCCAAAAGTGCTATCGAAACCTTGAGGTTGCTTAAATATGAGAGTTTGACAAAAAGAGAAGGAAAAAAAAAAAGCTTTGGTAGCGTGGGAAGCCCGCCATGTACAGATTTAATTATTATTATTATTATTAATCCTCACCAGAGAAAGATTATATGAAATAATCAGGTTGTTGTTGTTTTGGGGGGGGGGAGTATGTTTCCTTTTAAATAGGTGGGGAGGGCTAGCTAGACCAATCATTGGAGGTATAAAAAAAAAAATATTTAATTTAAAAGATTTTATGGTCTTATCACAGATGATCTAATTTTTGTCGTTAATTTTTTTTTTGTTTTCGTTTTTTTTACTTGCTGTGTAGATGGCGTTTAGTTGCGCTAAAATATTCTATATTATTCCGTTTTTCTTTCCTTTTGTTTCTCTGCGCAAATCTTGGAACCAAAAAATCTGTTTGGTGACTTTAATGCTCTGCAGCCATATTTATGATATATTAAAAAAAAAAAGTCACAAAAAACATAAACTAAAAACGAGGGCTGTGATGACATCGTGCCAAACAGACCGCACACCAAGATGGAGCAGGAAAAACTACTGAATATGCTTCAAAGAAAAGACACCTTTCTTGTTTGTTGTTTTTGTTCGTTTGTTTTAGAGTTTTAAGAAAAAATATTTAAAAGTATAAGAAGTGGGGGGGGGCTGTTCTAGCTAGCTTTATACCAATCGCCGCGTCACGCTAACACTTTAAAAAAAAAAAAAAAGCATTTGACCTTCACTTAAAGCTTGAAATGTTCGGTGTTTTGTTCCTATTTTTAATTTTTTTTTGCCAAATGACGACATTTGGTGCTGTAATGCTTTGTCGCAGAATACTGGACCTACAAAACAAGCGAGGCTTTAATTCTTATGATGTCTGTCGTCACGAAAAGAAAAAAAAAGCTTCGATTGTTCAACTGATGCTTCACCTCCTCTCTACAACACTATAGCCTCTTTCACGCAGAGATCCCGCCAAAACAGACAAAAATAACACCCGACATTTGCCCGCTTTTGCTTTTCACGCTAAACCCAGCGAAAAGCCAAGCTTTAATTCTGATGTTTGTTGTCGTAAGAAGCTTCAGGTGACGCGGAGAGAGCGCAAAATCATAGCCGTCACCGAAAATCTGACAGACGTGTATCTGGTGTTAAACTTCATCTCAGAATGTGCATCCTGGCTTTAATTTTTATGATTTCTTGTCAGTCACATCATCCAAACCTTTGCTTCCAACAACACTAGCCTCTTTCGCACAGAGATGAAATGGCGGGAGAAGTGAATATCGGGAGTTAAACTTCATACCGGACCGTGGCACCCTCAGTATACCTTTGCGCACCGATGGCTTCATTTCGAAATACTGGACCTACAGCATAGCTTTAATTCTTAGCTTTTCTGTCAGAATCAAAACCTTTACCTCCAACAACACTAGCCTCTTTCACGCATAGATTTTGCAAAAAAAAAAAAAAAGGCGGCAGGAAAAGAGAGCGCCGGGTGTTAAACATCACACTCAGCTTTGCGCAAGGCCATCAGAGGCAGAATACTGGACCGATAGTATGGCTTTAATTCTTATGATTTTGCCTCTCTCACACAGGGGATCTTGCAAAAATAGGGTCAGAGAATTATGGAGTATTAAACTAAACACCCCTGTGCCGACATTGCGGAATACTGGACCTACAGCATGGCTTTGATTCTTATTGTCTGTTATTAAAAAAAAAAAAAAAAAAAACTTTACCTCTATCAACACTAGCAACCTCGCCAAAAAAAAAAAAAATGGGGCGGGAGAAGTGTGTGGATGTTGACTTTCACACCCCTGTCCCGGCATCGCGGAATACCTTTACGCTTCCATGGCTTTGTCGGTGAATACTCAAATCTACAGTGTGACTTTAATTCTTGTGATTTCTCAGCGTCAATACCTTCATTTCCAACACCACTAGCGCTTTTTCGCAATCGCAAAAAACAAATAAATAAATACAAACGGGGAAAGAGAAGTTGGGTGTTAAACTTATCACTATCCCGGTATTGTATAATATTGGATCAAGAGTGTGGCTTTAATTCTTATGCTTACCCCATCATCCATACTGTCGCTTCCGACAACTCCGGCCTTTTTCATGGAGAGTCTTGCTAAACCAGAGTGGGTGTTAAACGTCACACCCTAATAGCTCAGCACGTTTGGACCACTGGACCTACAATGTGGCTTTAATTATGATGTCGTCACCGACAACACACGCCTCCGTCACACAGACTTCCTGCATCTGCCTTTGCCCTGCTTGGCAGGAGTCGAAGTATGAAACGTCACACCACTGTCGCGACATTGCTGAATATTGGACCAACGGCGCGGCTTTAATTGTTATGCTTTAACATCCTAAAAACATTTTTTTTAAACTCTTGACAACACTAAGTCCTGCACTGCAAAATTGGCATCAGAGCCGTCACAGAAGAGACACTGATCGAACTACCTTCGGTGCTGAGCAAAAGTTGACGCAACGTCATGCCATCCCTTTATCGGACATTTTGCTGCCCTATGAGACATTTCGGTTTCCGTTACGGAAAACAATTGCCGGGTCATGGTGAAAAGAGGCGGAAAAATGCCGGTGTTAAAATGGGCTTCTGTAGACTATCAGGTAATCGTTTTGCCATTTTATTATTGTTTTTAACACCTGCGCGTTTTGGGGGTGGGGGGGGGGTCTTTCCGTCGAACTACTGGCAGTACTTTTCCGTGTGAAATACGTGTTACGAGGACCTAAAGCGGATGTCTTTTTGTTTATATTTGGTACCGAATTATAAACGCCGTTTATACATATTTGGAATCACTTGACAGTGACAGCACGTCCTAAGCGTTTTTTTAAATTTGTGTTTGTTGTTTTGTGGGGGGGGGGGGGTCGTTGTTTAGTTTCCATTTAATTTGGTCTGCCAGGTAGTTTAAAAATAAAAAAAATTCCACCAGACGAAAGCAAGTGAAGCTCTATGGCGCCATCATAGACATGCACTTAACTTTTTTTTTTTAATGAACATTTAAGTTTCTTCGTTTGTTCAGCCCAAAAAAGCGTGTCTGAAAGGAACTTTCTCCATTTTTTTGTGTGGTTTATTTAAATATATATATATTGACTCCAAAAAAAAAAAAAAAATTCAATCAAGACTGTTAATTTCTATTTTGTCCAACCAAAATTATTATTATTGTTATTGTTAATTCTTCTTTTTAATGTACGGGAGAAGCCGGGTGTGAGTGCTCACTCCCTTTCTGATTGTTCCCTCCCATGACTTCAGCACACATTTTTTCGAATAGCGCGTGTCGGGCAGCAGGAGATAGAGTATGTATGTATGTGTGTGTATGTGTGTGTCTATATATATATATATATATATATATATATATATAATCTCCACACACATACAGTATGTGTGTTCATATGCAGTTTGTACGGGACACCATCTTCCTTCTTGTGTCACTTTCAAAAATCATTGTGGGTGGGGCCTATGATATAGCCAATACATATATACATATACACACATATGTATACGTGGAGAGTCTATGAAATATGAAGATATTTATATATATATAGGAAAAATATATTATTTAAGTCCCCTCCGCTTTGCTGTGTGCTGCTTGTCTGTCTGTCCCTTCCTGTCTTTTTTTTTTATGATTCATGCCATTCTACTGATTTTTATGTTAATTATTTTAATGCTGTATTTCTTGTATGGACAACAAGTAAAACAAATCAAAAGAAATCGCACCACACTACAGATTTTGTTTCCCCACACATACACGCGCGCACCATACCCATCCATCCTCATTTTTGGCTGTATTTTTTTAATGCTTTTAAGATTAATTAAAAAAAAAAAAAGGACAAAAAAAAAAGTTGTATTTTTCAACTTATTTGCTCTCTGACAGCGATGCAAAACTCGGTGCCCTCCGAACACAAAAAAGCAAAATTCAGGTTACTCTTTTTACGTTTTTACCAGAACTTTTCAAAGATGGAACTTAACATTCTCCTGGTTTGTTGCTCTTGTCTCTGTTTTAAAATAAATAAATTGTACTACTGTTCCTCTCTGTACTACATTTTAAGAATAAAACTTTGATATTGCTCCAATTGTTTGGGAATCTTTTTTTGTGTTTCAGCCATCGTTGGGGGGGGGGGGAAAGCTTTGTTCTCACCTCTGATGCAGAAAACTCATCAAATGCAGCATTTATCCACTTTTGCAGTAAACGGCAACATTGATATTTCTGCAAGGCTTCAATTTTTGTTTTTTTAATTCGTGGTTCGAAATAAGTTTGATGTTCCGTCACCGTATTTTTAAAGGCGTGTATTTCCACTCAACAGTTTTTTCGCTGGAGGGTTGGAATACATGCTTCTGGGTTTTGTTGTATTGTCTGTTTTTATATGGTGCTGCACCTTTTTTGTTCCAATGTTCGTGGTTTAAGGGTAACCTTTAGAACAAGGGAAACTTAAATGTTTCATTAGCCATGGTGTTTTCCATTGTGTTAGCATGAAGCTAGCCGAAGGCAAAGTTATGTGCTTCCCCTCCAAAAAAGGAAGAAAAAAAGGGAATTGTAACTGCCTTAAAACACAATAACAGTATTATTTTATATTCAAGGCGTTCATTCTTGGTTATTGCCATAAAAAAAGGTGTTTTTTATGTATTATTTGTAGGTTTATTACTCAACATATTTATTTGAGTCCATTTTTTCGCATTCACGTTGGTCTGAAAGCTTATTTTACCGAATCCAAAGTCTCCGTTTGGAACCTGTCGACACCGGATTGCTGCCCCCTGCTGGCCACTCGTTTGCATCTCGTTTGTCACGTTTGCCACTAGGTGGCACCACTTGCACATCCATGTTGCTCTCTTCACACCAGCCGGACAAGGTTGGAATCCTTTTTTTTTCTCCTTTGGTGGGATTCTGTATCCGGTTGTCGTCGAAAATCCTCCATAAAAACACGAGGAACTGCTGCTTTTTTTTCTCTCAAATCTGACACCGAAAGTCACAAATGAGCGTGTGTGTTGGGGCCGAGGGGTTGACATGCCGCCCCCTCCAGTGCATTCATAGAGTTGTAGTTGAGCAGAAATGAAAAAATGTCTTCGTGGTTTATTCCCCGCTTTTTTTTTTTGGACCAAGAACATCCTTTGTCTTTTTTAGCATCTGTGTTTTTGTCGATATATGCTGTGTGTGTTCTCTTAGTGTGCGCATGTGTGTATTTTGGGCGTTTGTGTGTGTGTGTGTGTGTGTGTGTGCGTGTGTGTGTGTGAGTGTGAGAGAGCTTTTGTATTTTTACATCTTTGTTTTTGTTTGGGCGTGTGCGTTACGTGTTTGCTTGTCGTGTCTCTCCGTGGTGCATGTTGTTGTTTTACGCGTGTGTGTGTGTGTGTGTGTGTGTGTGTGTGTGTGTGTGTGTGTGTGTGTGTGTGTGCGTGTCTCTTTTGGTCACTTTTCTGGGTGTGTGTTTGTTTATAACCATCTGTGAATGCGTCAGCGTGTGAGGAGAATGTACGTGTGTGAGTGTAAATATGTGAGCGTGTGCGCCCCCCTGCTGAAATGTCGTGTCCAGAACTGACAACGCGCGCCGTGCGCGCGCGCGCGCGTGTGTGTGTGTGTGTGTCTCGAGAAGGTGGCGGTTCCCACAGCTCAGCTCTAATTCGGGTGTAACTCAACCCCCGTGTGAGTGATGCTTCTCTCCACTCCCTCTTGAGTGTGTGTGTGTGTGTGTGTGTGTGTGTGTGTGTGTGTGTGTGTGTGAGAGAGAGAGAGAGAGATTTCCTCTCACAGACTCTCCGATAGTTTATCGTGTCGACTGGACGGCCGCACGCGCACGCACGCAAGCAGACATGACGCCACATATAGACCACACAAACATGACGTTATAGCGTGTGTGTGTGAGCGATTTGTGTATTGTTTTTATTTGTGTGTGTGTGTGTGTGTGTTTTTTTTTCCCTATTTGCGTTTTGAAATACTTTAGCGTTGTGTTGTGCTATCATGAATGTTGTGTTTGTTGCGTGTGTGTGTGTGTGTGTGTGTGCGTGTGTGTGTGTGTGTGTGTGTGTGTGTGTGCGCCCGCGCGCGCGTGTGCTCATCTGGTGGAATCAATTACGGACAAGACTTTCCCAGCATCTCCTGCTTAGTGGGAAAACTGGAGCACTTGGACACACTCCTGTGTGTGCATTTGTGTGTGTGTGTGTGTGTGTGTGTGTGTGTGTGTGTGTACCTGTGTTTGAGCACGTAGTGGTGCGTGGGCGCACTTGGGCTATCAAGTGTCTGCGTATGCAAATGTGTAGGCGTGTTTATCAGCGGGTGCGAGGACAGCTGGCGTGAGGCAAACACTGGGAAAGATTTTTGTTGGCCTTCAGAGGTCAAACAAAGCGATTATAATGTGGGACGTAGTTCAGTTTCAGCACGTCGGAAATGAGTTGGGGTGCGCAGGTTAACAAAGGTGCTCTGCCCTCGGGGCTGTGAAATCAGAGATGGAATGGCGGTTTCTTATACCATTGGTGTTCTGTGATTTTTTTTTTTTTCTTTCAGTGGGCGGTGGTGCTCCACCACTCAACCTTGTATTAAAAAAAAGTGGTGCGCCGCCCAGCAATGATGTTGAAGTAGGTGTATGCCTTTCAAAGTGTGTTGCCTTCTTTCATGTTTGCATGAAGAAGTAAGTATAAATAGTATAAAATTCTCCTCCAGGGCACAGCACACAGTTGATGCACCCCCATCTTCTAAAAAAAAAAAAAAAAAAGAAAGTCTTGAGAAACGTCTGTTCTACCTTATCGACACAACGTTTTAATATCAACTACTCTGTTGAAGGGCGCTTGCGTACCTCCAGGGTGTGTGCGCACCACAGTGAGGAAATCCCTATCCTCGCTGCACTTATCTTATCGGGTCCACCCCTCCCTGCTTTTATCACACAGCCCGGGGCCCGATGGCTAATTAGCGAGTTGCTATCCATTAGCGGCCATTACGCAAAACATCAAATAGATCGCACGCTCTTGATTTCCATTCGACATTCGTTTGCGCCGCTTCAAAGACAAAACGTGTGGCCGCGCCGGTGGCGTTTTAGCACGAGGCGGGCGCCGTGCGACCGCCGTCCGGTGGGAACGCGGGGGCCGCTGCCCGCCCCGCGGTCCCGCCCGGCGCGTGACGTGGGAGCGCGGCCCGGGAGGCCAACAGGATACTTGACATTCCTGCGCTGGCTGGGGGACTGTGAGAAATATGTCTTCAAAAGTCCCCCGCACCACCACCGTGTGTGTGCGTGCATGTCTGTGTCCCTGTAGACTGTGCTGTCTGGACATGTGTCTCCACAGAGGTGCACACACACACCATTAAATATGATGTGACAATGGATGGATGTACATTTGGGGGTGTAGAGGCCATTAAATGTCATAAATACAGCAAAAATGCTCACCGTCAAGTAAACGTTCATTTGGGGGTGTGCACCCCACTGAATATGTTGAATTAGGGGTGTGTGTGTGGAGGTGCGCAAAACCGGTAAAGATGGCCCTTTGGAGGTACGGTCAAACCTCGGTTTTCGAACGTCTCGGTTTTCGACCAAAAATTTCGAGTTTTTTATGCCTCGGATGACGAACAAATTTCGGTTCTCGAACAAACTGAGCGCACTTGAATGCACCATTTGACTCCTCTCGCCTTCCTTACACGAGGAAGTGACGCTTCCTCGTGTTGCTTTCCATTGTTAGCAGACGTGTTCAGTAAACATTTTTTATTTTAAAAAGAGCGTCGTTTCGGTTTTCGAACAATTTCGGTTTTCGAACAGCCTTCCGGAACGGATTATGGACGAAAAGCGAGGTTTAACTGTACTCCGATTAACCCTGGAGAACCCAAGAACCTTTTTCTTCTTTGGAAAATAATGAATTATACATTAAATGACTGCTATATGTTCACGGAACACCAAATTATGTTTTTTCAAATATTCAATCCTTTAATACTAATTTAGGATTAGGGCCAAATTTGACCTTTTGGGATTTCAGAGTAGCATTTGAGTAGCAGAATTTATAGGGGCCAAATTTGACGCCGTGGGTTCTTCAGGGTTTAAAAAAAAAAAAAAGAGGGGCCCGGAAATGGAGGTGGCAGCTCACTAAAATGTTAAATTAGAGGTGCGCCCACCGAATGATACGGAGGTTAAATAAAGTCAAAATATGGGAGCGCGCAGACCAGGCAGTATGGTTCATGAGGGGTGCACAGATTCCAAAAAAAGATACGTAGTCTAAATACGGAGATGGTCGACCACGAAGTCTATTAAATTCCGTCGAGGTTTGCCAACCCAGTAAAAAAAATGGAGGTGTGCAAACTGTTACATATCCAAGTACACTTCACCAAAGTATAACATCACCCTAATTGTGGTGTGTGTGCGCGTGTGTGTGTTAATTGACGCCAAATTTGGACGGTTGTTGTTGTGTGTAACTCCGGCTACTGACAGCTGAATGCACCTACTTTCCCATGCTGTCACAGGTCAAAGGTTGACGGCGCAGTTGTCCCACGCACGCGCACACACACACACACACACACACACACACACACACACACACACACACACACACACACACACACACACACACACACACAAAAACACGAGG